CTCCATTTTACTTTACTCTGTCAATTATAATGAGGCATCATATAGCCTCTCCTCTGGGAGCCCAGAGCCACTGTCCCCTCCCCTGGATGCCCAGTCTTGTGTGTCGACTGGTGGGACACTAAGAGGACCCCAGGATGCAATGTGCCTGGCCCAAAAGGCTCTTGCTAACTGATGGGTTTTAGTTGCTGTCTTGTGTGCTCCCCTCCAATGGCTATGTCCCTGATTGTCAATAAAGTATTTCCTGATCTCCTGTAAAAAAAAAAGATGGAGTTACGGTGAAAGCAAAAAGAAAAAATGATATGCAAACATGACAAAGGTGTTAGCAGCAATTTTAACAGTAGTTTCTGCATAGAGACCTAGCTCTGCATGCTCTGATTTGCTTTCGTCTTTATGACAAGCTTCAGAAGGATAGACTGTTATTCTCCTCATTTTCTAGATGAAAAAGATGAGACTCAGAGGGATTTAGAGTTTACTTGAGGCCACACAGGGAGGCAAAATGAGGACTGACGCTTGACTGTGTCTGGCACCTTTATCCCTCCCTAAACAAACACCACATAACTTAGTAATTGGAGGATATAGGGCCATATTATGACATTCACAGAGGGAGGATGACTGTGATGGATGGGCAAAGGTGAGAGTGTTGGCTTTGACCTTCAAGACTTGGACTCCTGGAAGCCAGGGCTGGACCCAGTAGCCCTCTTCCGACTGCTGGCTAGCATCAGGTCTCTGGCTGCTATTCCTCAGGATGTAGCACTTCTTCTAAAGAGGGAAAGAATGTTGCAGGCTGCTGTGGAAGTGTTGCTTGGGGTGAAGGGTGATGTTAGGGGGTTGCATGAGTTCAGAGGAGGTCTCTCTCTCTCCTGGCCATGAAAGACAAGCCTATATCTACCCACAGGGCAGTACCGTCACTTGGGAGGTGAAGGAGGGGAGAAGTGTGGACTGTATCTTCTGACACCATCAGAGGGGATAATACCAAAGTTACCCCAGCGTCCATGGCAGCGGTAGCCACTCCTGCTGCTTGCAAGTCAAGGCTGATCACTGAACAGAGAGTCTCTACTTTGGCTAACAAGAGAGGAAAAGAGCTTTGGGGCCAGGAATGGTGGAGCACCACACACAAGGCACATGTATAGGGATGGATCTGGGCCAGGCACTCTGCACATGAGAGCGGGGATCACCTGAGAGCCCTGCCCATGAGGTTGGAGTAGGGATGTTACACCTTGAGTTGCCACACTAAGTGATACCAATCTTATCATTGCTGCTACTGTTAGGTACTCAGTTCCACCTAGAGGAGTGGGATGAGGTTAACAAAGATCCCAGAAGATCAAGGCAGAGACTCCAGGAGCTCTGAAAGGAAGAAACTTCAAGCAATAGCCTAAGGCACTTGCAAGACCCTTAGCCCTGCTGTATTAGTATTCAGGGGCAGGAGAATGCCTCCATAGTCCCCAGACTGTGCCGTTGCCACAGGAAGCCCAGGACAAAGCTTCCACCAATAGTTGGCCTCTCTCATACCTCCCTCACTAGTATTCCCTACCCCATCCAGGAGACCTGCCGTAAGCAGGAACCTGGAGTCAGCCTACCTGAACTCTTATTCCCCTGAACAAGTCATCTGACATCTCCAGGGCTAAATTTCTTATCTGTATGACACTGCTAAGAATACCTGCTAATATACTCATATGGAGAAACAAAGGGATAACTCCCTTGCTCTTGTGGCCCAGTGATAAGAAGTTGTGCTGTCAACTCAGAGTTACATGGTTCCAATCATGAACCTCTCTGGGAAAAAGATGGAGAGTCTCCCTCTGTGCAATTTACAGTCTCTGAAAACCTTCTGTAGTGTCAGCAATGAGTCAACTGGTCAGCACGTACCTACCACAACAATGATAACTGTAATAATAGCTATGCCCTGTTATCATTATGGAATATTGAGTGTTAAAAGGCTGGAAGTGGAGTAAGCACATTACTAGTATTCTCTCTGATTTTTCACACAGTTCTCTGTTGGGTGGGCATAAACAGGACCTCATTTTACAGATGAGGAACCTTGCAGCACAGAGAGGTTAAGCAATCCACTGAAGGGTACACAGCTGTAGATACCCATGGTTTACTTCTGACATTTTACCTACTTCCCTAGCACTCTGTGAGTTCCCAATAAATGTCTCCTTCCTGAGTTACTGGTCTGCTCTCTCCATCCACTGTCTATACTGTAGTCTAAGTGAGTTTGCTATAATGCAGCTCTAATCCAGATTCTCTAAGCCGACATTCCTCCTATGGCTTCCGAGAGTTTTCACAAAGCAGCCAAGATCTTCAGTCACCTTTCAGGGCCTGAAAACAAGGATCTGTCACTTTCAGCCCCAACTTCATCTCCTGCCACCCAGCTTCCCATCAACACGAGCCATAGTGAACCACTTTGGGTCCCTCAAATTACCAGGCTCTCACTTGCCCTTACCCCTCTGATTTGCTCTTCCTGGAATGCCTTTTTCTTTCTAAACATGAACAACAGCACTCTTTCCCAGCATGGTCTCCTTTGTCTGCAAGAGTTTACTGTGGCTGAGAAGGTGAAGAACATACTATATCTTCTGCACTCCCAGGGGATGGCAGAGACCAAAGGCTCAAATAGGCAGAGAGGATTTATGTCAGAAGCAAGTGCCTAGTGCCCTTTTCCAGAGGATCTCAGACACCTGTGCACATTAAGCTGGCCACAAAGTTCAAAGAGGTTGTAAGTTCACTTTGTGGCATCCAGTTTCTGAGGCCTGGAGTGACTTTTGGTCAAGCAATGAAGAATTGTGTCCTAATTACCCCAAGGCCAGGGTGAGCTGGCTGAGCCATCCAGGGGAGACACTGCTTGGACATTCAGAGCCCAGCAGGCATGCCAGGGTAAGGCAGGCTGGAGGCAGTGACACCTGTGGCTGAGCTCACTGACCTGACTCATGGACACAAAATCCTCCTGCCCCAGGGGTCAGTAACCAAACTTAGGTGTGTGGCAACCTACCATTTTATCATCAGGGAAAATTAGAACCAGGGAGGTTCGGTAAATCGTTTAAAGTCACAGAGAGAATAGGAAAACAAGTCTTGGGAGAATCATCATAGAGCAATGATTATAGCTGTGTCTAATGCCAGGTCTGCCACTTTGACACTATGTGATCTTAAGGACGTGAACTCACCTCTAAAATTCATACTTAAAACACTTTCACTACATGCCAGCCTTGTTCTTTGCCTCTATTAACTCATTTAGGCCTTGCAAAATCCCACAAGGCAAGAGCCTATTTTACAGACGAGGAAACAGAGTCACAGAAATGATGAGTTGTCCATAGTCTTAAATCTAGTAACCCAGGTGTGGGATGCTAGTATGTCTGCAAAATGTAGATTCCTTTATCCAACAGGTGTTTCTAGAGCACCTTCCATGGGCTAAGTTTCATCTTGCTTGTATCAACAATCAACACCCTTGGTACCAGCTGTCAGGAAATCAGAAAACATAATGCATTAGGCAAGTCCACTGCCAGGGACTTCTCCATAATGCTGAAGAGCAGTTATTTTAGTTTGAAGATTTAGGTGCGACTGATTCAGACCATGGTCTTCTCCATCACCTGCTATGCATCAGAAAGCTAGACAATGACTAAGAATGACAGAAGAAGAATTGTTGCCTTCGAATTGTGGTGCTAGAAAAAAGTGCTGAATATCTCATGGACTGACAAAAGAACAAACAGATATGTCTTGGGAAAAGTGTAGCCGCAGTGCTTCTTGGATACAAAGATGACAAAATTTTGTCTTTCATACTTTGAACATGTAGCTAGGCGAGGCTATTCCTTGGAAAGGGACTTCATGCTTGGAAAGATGGAGGGTCATTTGAAGGAGAGGAAGACAGATGGATTGATATGGTATCTTCAACAGTGGACTCTAGTGTGTCAAAGATGATGAGGATGACACCGGATAGGGCATGGTTCGGGGTCACTATGACTTGTACTTGACTCAGTAGCACCTAACAACAACAATATTCCATTGTATAATTTATCTATTCAACTATTGATACATATACTTAGGTTGTTTCCCCACTTTGATTATTGTGACTCAAACTGCCATAAACATTGGTGTACACATGATGTTTGAGTCCCTCCTTTCACTTCTTTTTGGAGTGGAATTGCTGGGCCTTATAACAATTTTAGGAGACCTACTGGCATAGTAGAGGCTATTCCTTGGAAGAGGACATCATATTTGGAAAAGGAAGGGGTCAGCAAATGACAGGAAGACACCCCCCCACAACAAGGTGGATTGACACATTAACTGCAACAATGCACTCAAGTGTGTCAGAGATGATGAGGATGGCACAAGACAGGACAAGGTTCAGATCTGTTGTTCAAAGGGTTGCAATGAGTTGTACTTGGATCAAACAAGCTGACAGAGTGGTTACACGCTGGGCTGCTAACTGAAAGGTTAACAGGTTAAGCCCAATTGCTGCTCTTCTAGAAAAAGATATGACAGTCTGCTTCTTTACAACCTTGGAAATCTTATGCAAGTAGTTAAATTCTGTACTAATAAGGTCACTGTGAATCAGTTTGTTAGCAATAGCCTTGGCATTTGGTATATCAATTCTGTTTAACTCTTTGAGAAACTGACCATTTCTCATAGCATCTATTACCATTTTGATGTTACTGTTATTGTAAGTCCTATTTCCCTGAAAAGGAGCTCTAGTGGCAGCAATTTGTTACATATTAGGTTGCAAAACTGAATGGTTGTGGGTATGAATACACTAGTCAGTCCACAGAAGGAAGAGTAAAATCTTTACTCCTGTAAAGATTAACAGTCTTGGGACCCTGGCAGAGGGTTGGCATGAGTCAGAATCAACTCAGGGGCAGTGAGTTGGGGGTTTTGGTTTCCCTATAAGGGTAGCTGCCTCATTGACCTCCTTCAACCGTACCCGCCACCTGCAGGGCTAGGTACACTGGCTGGTTACTCACTGGAGACACTCTCTCGCAATCTTCTCCTCCTACCACCACCTGCTGCAGGTGTTCGGAGATGTGGACCAGGTGCGGATGACCTCAGAAGGCTCAGACTGCCGCTGCAAGTGCATCATGCGGCCCCTGAGCAAGGATGCGTGCAGCCGGGTGCGGAGCGGGCGAGCGCGGGTCGAAGACTTCTATACAGTGGAGACAGTGAGCTCTGGCTCTGACTGCCGCTGCTCCTGCACGGCGCCGCCCTCCTCACTCAACCCCTGTGAGAATGAGTGGAAGATGGAGAAGCTCAAGAAGCAGGCACCTGAGCTCCTTAAGGTAACCTTTCCAGGGTGAGGGTGAGGGCAGGGAACCTCCTGAATGAGGGGATAACATGGGCCAGGCACCAGGCTGTCTCACCAATGAAAATGCCACACACTAGAAGAGGCAAGTACTGTTATCCAAATTTACAGGTGGAGACACTGAGGTTCCATCAAGAGAAACCACTTCTTACTCAAGACCATTCAGTCAGTAAGTGATGGAAACAGGACTCTTTAGCCAATGGCTTGTTTACCTCAATCTGGCCCTTTTGACACATTTTATTATTAACAGACAATAGCAGTAGCCAGAGTACATGTCAGTTTACCTCATCTCAAACTGCACAGGGCAATGCACTGGGCATCAAATAAACCTGCACACACAGTAGTTTGTGTTACAGAAGAGAAGCCCTGAGTAAAGGAACTAAAATTTTTCATAAAGGGCATCAAGCATGGCTGCCCTTTGTTCCAGCGGGAAGCACTGTCTCTGCTTTTCAAGGCATTTTCTGTACAACCAGGCCTCACGCAATGAAGGCAGGCGGTGCTTCAGTTTGCCCAAGATGCAGAAAAGCAAGGGCCTCCTGGAGAATTGTCTTCCAACATTTGGCTAAAGACACTTCTTTTGATTTAACTTTAGTTTTATTTTTGTAACATGTCTGTATGCTCAAAGTTTAGAGAGCTCTGGTGGCTTAGTGATAAGGAATTTTGCTGCCCACGCAAAGGTACACATTTTAAATCCCCAGCAACTCCATGGGAGAAAGAGGGCCAATCTCCTCCCGTGTAGTTTATTGCCTCTGAAAACCCATTGGAAGGTCAGTTATGGGATGATTCCAACTCAATGATACACAACAACAACAACAACATGCTCAGAGTTTAGGGGGGCTGGGATGATGATGTTAAATTTTAGGATAAGTTGTTTCTTATCAACGTGGAAGTCCCTAGACTTCATGGGACCTTCCTAGAGTTCTGCTCTAGGAAGACATTTAGGCTGTCCTCGGTTACATTTCTGCTCAAGTCAACATTGCTAAGAGTATAAACATGCTGCTTTAACCTGTGAGGTTATGTAAGGCCCTTTCATAAATGCTAATTTAATTCTTGCCACGACCTTTCTATAAGGGAACTTAGGGTTGATCCCTTCTTTACTTGTGAGGGAATCTGAGGCTCAGAAAGGAGCCGTGACTTACCTAAGATCACATAGCAAGAAAAGTGAAAGAGCTAAGATTTGAACCCAAGAATTCTCTATTTCCCTTTGCCTACAGGAGGTGTCACTGGGCAGCCCTCTCAGACTGTTGTCTCTCAGGCTTTTACAGAGCATTTACAGCTAAATGGACCCTTGTTCATCTGTACAGAGTGGGGTGATAGTGGGATAGACTCAGCAGGTGGGGCGAGAGGAGGGGGAGAGACTACCCTACCTCGCTGATAGCAAGGTAGATGCCTGAGAGGTACCAGGAGAGACTCAAAAGAAGGTTGCTCATGCAATAGTACACAGGCAATGCCCTCCCCTGCCAGCTCACCTTTTACCATCAGCACGAGACTCTCTGTGGGCTGCTCCCACGGGAGGAGGCTCACTGGAGCCTTCAATGGAGGAAGGCATACATCATGGCTGGACCCTTCCTTTCAAGCCAGTAACTCTAGCTGTGATTCGATCCTAGGTACATGGCTCTGTGTAGGAGAAGGTGATGCTCAGGGATACACTTCTTACCTCTTCTCTTCCTTTCCTTCTAGATATGGGCCAGGCATGGCCCTGTTCTTGAAGAATCACCAGGTTTGTGGAGAACATAGTTTCTAACCCCAATAATGGCAGTGTGACCAGTGTTAGGTGGAGGGATATCCCAGGGACTCTGGGAACCACCAAAGACAATACCATTAGAGTGAGCCCTGAAGGATATCCAGCCAGCTGAGAAGGCATAAGGGCATACTGAGTGGGAACAAGGATGCCTGCCTGCACTCCCTGTGCTCCAGATCCACAGGCTGCCTGTCAGTTCCTCTAATGCAGTGCTGCTCAGACCACCTTGGGGAAGGCACAGTTTAAAATTTTCCAATCTGTTATGAATCCAAATTTCTGTAAAATATTCTAAAATTTAATTACTAGAAAAATAAAATGACAATTTATATAAGGGAGCTCTGGTGACCTAGTAGGTAAGGATCACGATGCCAGCGCATCTGCTAGCTGCTCCAAGGGAGAAAGATGGGCAGCCTCTTCCTGTGTGATTTACAGCTTCTGAAAATCTGCCGGAAGGTCAGTTATGAGCTGGTTTTGACTCAACAGCACAGGACAACAATGACAACATAGACTGCAAGTCCCGTGCTTTAGTGTCAGAGTTAGCATATGTAAAATCACTTCATCAATTGCCGATAATGTTTCTAAAACTCACAGTATCATTTCTATGATTAGAAGGCCTGGTAACCTGTGGTTTGGACTGAGGCTGATTGGAGGACCATGGTTTGAGTAGCTCTGTCCTAACACTGTTTCTTCTTACCTCCAGCCCTTTGTACACACTATGTCCTCTCCCTCCCCTGTCATCTTTGCCTAATGTGAGCCCCTTCTTCAAAGCTCAGCTCAAATAAAACTTCCTAATCTTGGCAGCCTTCCCTAGTCCACACATATTCCCAGCTAGAGTCAGCACCCCTGTAACTAGTTCTCTGGGCGCCTCTGTGTTCCTGTCTGAATCCCTTTGTTTGGGCATCTATGTGTTACTGTCTATGTCTCCTGGAAGTCTATGAAGGATCAGGAGGACCCATGTCTGTCCTGCTCACCATTCTTTAGTGTCTCACCTCGGGCCTGCCCATATTAAACATCTCCTAAGATCAAAAAAGGTGGCAAGGGGCAGATCATAGCAGGTTTGGCTGGTTTATTTAGATTAGAAGCCTCATGTGGGCTGGAGGAAACATCAGGAAGTTAGAGTTGTGTGTTCTAGAGTTCATTCTGAGTCACAGAGACTTGGACAAAGCTATAAAGACATGAGACAAAGCAGAGCTACATGAGACAAAATACAGCTACCCCATAGGGTTTTGTACATTGAAATCTATATTGGGACAGATCACAAGGTCTTTGTTTCCATGGAGCAGCTAGTGTGTTTGAACCACTGATCCTTCAGGTGATAGTGCTTAACTAGTATACCAACAGAAAAAAACAAACACCCCCATTCCTAGCAGACCATCCAACAGGTTTTCGGATTCTGTAAATCAAATAGGAAGAGATTGCTCATCTTTCTCTTGGAATATCTAGTGGATTCAAACTGCCTGCCTTTGGGTTGGCAGTGCAATCTCTTACCCAGTATATCACCAGAACTCCCTGGTTATCTACTCATGAGCAAAGCTGTGCTTGATAGTTTTTGGTAGCCATAATGGCAGGAGAGCAAAACTGGGAGGCTGCCACTTAACCTCTAGAAAAGTAACCATTGTTGCTCATATTCATGAAGCACTTCCTGTGTGTTCACTCTGTGCCAAGCCCTGTCCAGACAATATTGTTCCTGATTACCCCATTTCATAGAAAAGGAAACTAAGACAGAGTGGACTCTACATGTACGCTTCTCCAGCTGTGCTCACAGGGCCGGGAGCCGGGGCAGTGTTGGCAGCCCCCCCTCGATGACTTAATGGGAATGTAGGGGAGCCGAGAAGGCTCTGAGTTCCTACCCTCTGCTTTTTTTGTTTTAGAGGTCAGATTCTTCTCAGAGAGCAGCTTAATGTTCTCTCTTGCTTAGTATAGTCTGGACAACCCTGGGAGGCAGGAGTAAAACTGTTTTGGCAACAGCTGATCAGGGCCAAACGGGAGCACTGGTCCTGCTCAGGCCTAGAGAAATTCCAGAGAGCTCAGAGTGGGCTGCGAGAAGGGTGGGTAGGCAGGCGGAGGAACTGCCCTTCCCTAAAAGCCAGGGAAGGCTGATTTCCCAACCAGCCCCTTGTGCCAAGGTTTCTCTGACATTCCAACTGGCATCCTGACCATCTGGAGGGAAGTGTTATATCCTGATGAAGTTCAGCTGAAAAGGGAGGAGGGGGTTGTTACTACAGGGAAGAGCCCTGGCTGACCAGAGGGGACTAAGGTCTCCTCCAAGCCCTGCCACTGACCTGTAGTGCATGTCCCTCCTGCTCTGGGACCTGTTTTCCCCATATAAATCCAAGACAGGAGCAGTAATGTGGGATTGGAAAGAGGCATTGTTTATCCATATGGTGTCTGCCTCTGGTGCCACCATTCATTTAACAGCTGAATGACCTTGAGCTTCATCTCTCTAAGCTGCAGCTTCACAATCTATAATATGAGGATAAAAGTAGTCCATACCTTGACTTAGATCAGTGTCTACAAGCAGACCCTGAGGCAAGGATCAGAGTGCAAGCGGTTTACTATAGAGGGAGAAACAGGACCGGGATGGTGCAGGAGCCAGCAGAGTGTGACCTCAGGCCAGAGGCCCAGCCCCAGCTGATCCCCAGCACAACCTGGAGTGTGGATCACAGCTCAGTCAGTCTGCAGTGGGTTGGGAAGATGCCTGCACCTTTTAGTTACCTCTTAAGAGCCTCCTCATGGGACACAGTGGCTCCAGTAGCTCAAGGGAGTTACAGAGAGTTACACTTGCAGGCCATTAAACACCAGAAGCCAGGTATAGGCAGAGGTACAGTAAGAGGGACCCCAGGGCACCTGGATAATGCTCCTTCAAGGTCTAAGACATACCTTATGAACTTGTTGTACAGGTTAAGCCAAGTAATTCAGAATAAGCTGAGCATCTACTTCATCCATACTAAGTGCTCCAAAGACAGAAATGTTGCTTTCTAATGAGTATTAGCACTTATGTCCTAGCAGAAAATTCTGAGGCTCAGGGTTCTGGTGTTCTTTGCTTAGAGTCTCTTCTTGAACCCCTCCACTAACTCTAGCCTTCTCTCGGGCAGCTGCAGTCAATGGTAGATCTCCTGGAAGGCACCCTGTACAGCATGGACCTGATGAAAGTGCATGCCTACATCCACAAGGTGGCCTCCCAGATGAACACGCTGGAAGAGGTAAGAGCTAGAGCTGGAGGCCGGGCTGGGGCAGTGTTGGGGGCCAAGGACAGTGTCTACAGGGCTGAAGTCAGTCCAGTTTGGCCTTACTGGACCCTGGAATCTGGTTTTATGGGAAGCTCAAGGGCTGGAGAAAACCAAAGCACCTCCTGGTGGTATTAGAAAGAGTTCACTAGGACCAAGATGCAACTTCTAAGACACCATTCACATAGAATGCCATGTGAGTGGTGGCCTTTGGGGTTGTCCAGCATGGCAGGACTGCATAAGTCCCAAGGGACAGCATTCTCCTGCAGTGGAGGTGGAGGTGCTGAGTGTCCTTTCCTGGCCAGGACAAATGTGCTACAGGACTGGGTGGTGGGAATTCCCTCTGTGTATGGGACAGGGTTGAGTGAGTGTAGGATTCCAAGCATCTAAGCTTCAGGTTTGATGTTTGCATATCTGCTGGTACTGCCTCACCTCTGCCTGTTTCCTGCATCCGGCCTCCACTGAGCTGCTTGGAACCTGGGGACATGCAGCTGCCAGGAGCAGGCATGGGGGCTTCCTTTCCCTGCTTCCTTTCTAGAGGGAGGGGGCATCTGGGCATCCTGTGCCCCAGAGCAGGAGATTAACCCTTTACTAATCCCAGAGTTGAGGTCACAATTATTCAAAATGTGGTTGGTGAGTATGTGCCATGTGCTAAATCCATGCCAGCATGATAGAAAGCAAGCATTTGTGGGCTTTCTACTAGATACCACTATTTCTTCTAGATGCCAGGTTCTAAATTCCCCTCCTTTCACCTTTATCTTGCATTCTCAGGAAACTCCAATTCACTCCACATAACAGAAGGTCTGGAGGGCCTAGAACAAATCAGAAATTATTTTCAAAGCCACAGAGAAATTACTTTTAAATTACCTTCTGTTTTGTATTATCTGTGCTTTGCTCCTGTTAATCACACTTTACTAAGTGATAACCCTCTGGGAAAAAAGCTTTTGGCTACCCCGCAAGGAGGTGAGGACACCTGTCTCACCTGAGAGAACCTTGCTGCCTTCACTATGGGAGGGAAACATCCCAGGGAGTTCAGCTGCAACTTGATGCCTCAGTTTCCCACTGCTTTCTTCCCTTATACCAGTGGTCTCCCCTGGAGTGATTTTGCTGCCCAGGGGATTTCTGGCAACATCTGGTGATATTTTTAGTTGTTACAACTTGGTAGTTGAGGGAGAGGCCAGTATGCTGTTAAATATCTTATCGTGCACAGGGCGATTCCCCATAGTTTTGAAGTTAAGAACTATATATTTTGACTTCTATCTTCCTTGAAATATAATTTTGAATATACTTTCACTTTCCTTAGTTATTCTTACAATAATCTGGTCCTTACTGTAACCCTGCAGTTTAATTTTTATGGTGAGAAGGATTTCCATTTTAGATGCAAGGAAAATTGAGGCTCAGAGGACAAGTGGAGAGAAAAAATTTGAGCCCCGATCTGTCCAACCCTACCCTACTGCCTCTTGGTCTCTGAAACTGTGTTCTTCTCTAAAAATTTATGGGAATGAAATGATGAATTCTAAGGCGTGGGAGGAGGAGCACGCATCTGCCCGGCCCCATGGAGGCGTCCAGGATTCCTTTCCAGATGCAGGTGTCCCTGCTTGTTGTCCTGGGCTGCAGAACTCGGGGGGACGTATCCATTCGTCGCACCAGCATATACTCGCTTTCGAGAGCAGAGGTTGTGTGCTGTGAGGTCTGATAGATGATAGGCGAGTGTTTGCCTGATGAAGAAATGAATGCAAAGGGGCCTAGAGATCCTTGAAATCATGGACGTCTGAGAGGAAGCTGGGACTCCTCCTTGGCTTTGTCTCAGGAATGTTTTGGGATGTGAAACATTGGTTTTCTCATTCATTTATTCCACTCTATTACTGTCTGTTGCTGTATAAGAAATTACACCAAAACTTTTAGGGAAGTAAAAAAAAAAGAAAAGAAATGATGAATTCTTCCCCCCCCATTTTTTTAATTGAAATTTTAATGAAAGTTTATAGAGACTTCCAATCATTCATTGGTACATTTTCCTCCCTGCCCACCCTACCCTCCTTTTCTCTTTGAAAAGTAAAAAACCCAAAAAAACCCCAAAAACAAAAAACAAAAAAAACCTACAACCCAAAATTTTCTTTATTATACAATTCCCCCCACCCCAGTCCACTCCACCATGGAGCTCTCATTCTGGACTCTTGTCATGTAAATAATACCTAATCATATATTCCTTTCAAATAGATCTCTCCCTCATCTGTTTCAATGCAGTATACATTATTTATCCATTCTTTTCTTAGTTTCCCCCCAACCCTGATGTCAGTTCTACTTTACAACAGTGGCACTATGCAGTATTTGTCCCTTTGTGACTGAGATATTTCATTCAGCATAATGTCCTCCAGGGTCACCCATTTTGTATATTTCTTGAGTTCCTTGTTTTCAGTGCAACACAGTATTCCATTGTGTGAATATACCACAGCTTCTCTAGCCATTCGTTTGTTGATGGGCACTTGGGTTGTTTCCAACTCTTCGCTATTGTGAACAAAGCAGCAATAAATATGAGTGCTTATATTTGCTTGGGTGGCAGTTCTGGTTTCTTCAGGATATATTTCCAGTAGTGGAATTGCTGGGTCAAATGGTATTTCTATTTCCAACTTTTTGAGAAAGTACCATACAGCCTTCCATCATGGTTGCACCATTTTACACCCCCACTAACAATGAATAAGGGTTCCAATTTCTCCACAACCTTGTCAGCATTTGATGTTTGCTGTTCTGTTAAACTTTGCTAATCTTATTGGGGTGAGATGATAGCTCATAGTTGTTTTTATTTTCATCTCTCTTAGAGGTCGGGATTTTGAACATTTCTTCATGGGTTTGTTCACCATCTGAATGTCTTCTTTGGTGAAGTGTCTGTTCATATCCTGCTCCCATTTTGCAATTGGGTTGTTTATCTTTGTCTTGTTGTTGTGCTCAAGTAATCTATAGATTCTAGATATAAGTCCCTTATCAGACATATCATTATCAAATAATTTTCCCAGTCTGTGGCTTCCCTTTGTACCCTGTTGGAGGTGGTTTTGGATGTGCATAGGGATTTGATTCTTAGAAGGTCTCATTCATCTATTTTATCTTCTCCTGGTTGTAGGTGAAATTATGAATTTTTTTACATTCTCTTTTTAAATTTTTTTAAATAATTTTAATGAACGTTTACAGAGATTTTGGATTTCCATTCATTCATTGTTGCACTTCTCTCCCTGCCCAGCCCTCCCTACCACTCCAGTTCACTCCTCTTTTTGAAAAGTAAAATAAACACTCTCTCCCTGGTACACAATCCCCCCGCACCCCTCCCCCTGCCCAACCTTAATTGTGGACTCTTGTGATAACCATAATACCCTATCTTACATTGCTTTTAAATTATTCTTTCCGTCATCTGTTTCAGTGCAGTATACACAATTTATCCAGTTTTTCTCAGTCTTACCACAACCCTGATATCAGTCCCATTTTACAGCAGTGGCACCATGCAATATTTGTCCTTTTGCGACTGAGATATTTCACTCAGCATAATGGCCTCCAGGCTCACCCATTTTGAATAATATTCCATGAGTTCCTTGTTTTTCAGAAATTATGAATTCTTAATACTGCTGCTTCATAACTTCACAACACTGAGGTGCCTCCTTCATCTGACTCAAAGGAATCTCAAGCACCCTTCAGATTTGTTTGGGTTTTGGGAGTTTAGGGCTTACCCCTGCCAGGTCAACGAGGTTTCCTATGTCCTGCTCCACTAGACAAGGCGAGGACTGGACGAAGTAGGAAGCAGGGATTGTTGGCTCAGGCGAATAGCGAAGGATATGTAGAAAGTGGTGTTATGTGTCGTCAAGTAGGAACCAACTCATAGCTGACCTTCTAGTGAGTGGTAAGGAGATCTCTAAGCCACCAGAGCTCCCTATATAGAGAGTGGTATTGTTATTGTGTACAGTCGAGTTGGAACTGACTCATAGCTGACCCTACAGCAGGTTTTCTGAGGCTGTAAATCACAGAGGAGGTTTGAGATTTGTCCATCTTTCTCCCTTGGAGCAGCTGGTGGATTTGAACTGCATGACTTAGGGTTGGCAGTATAACTTCTTACCACTAGCCACCAAAGCCCCCTATCTAGAGAGTTATTGTTGTGTGCTGAGTTAGAACAGACCTGTAGTTGACTGTCCAGTGGGTTTTCAGATACATTAAATTGCAAGGAAGGAGACTGAACCATCCTTCTCCAGCAGAGTAATTGGTAGATTCGAACCGAGTACCTTTGGAATTGCAGTACAGCTTCTTACTACTAGGCCACCAGAGCTCCCTACACAGAGAGTAGTGAGCAAGGTTCTGAGTTGTCTCTGAGTTGGTCTGTTCCTAGCAGTACTCAGGGCCAGGAATAGATCCAGGGTGCAGGGTGATAAAAGCAAGACATGAAGATAGGACTCTCAGAAGGACAGTAAGGCAAGGCAGAAGAACAAAACTGGGAATCACAGGTCTGAGTGCCTCTGAAGGAGCCAGCCCAGGAAAGAAGTCCAAGAGATCTCTCTCAGTAGGGATCAGAGACTCACCCTAAGAAAACCCCTAAAGAGGTTCACTCCATATGAACTGAGTATTTTATAAAAAGTAGTATTTATGTATCATTGATGAAATGAAAAGGTAACTTTAAGGTAGCAAAAGATTGAAAGGAACTTAAATGGCCATCAACAAGGAACTGGCTGATCCATATAATGGCATACTGTAAGGCCACTGAAAGGAATAGGGAGCACTAGATGTACAGAGATGGAACAGTTCCCCAAATATGCAGGTAAATGAAAAACGCAAAGTGTTTAAAAACTGTATTGATATTCGTGTGTGTGTGTGTGTGCGCGCGCTGTTGCTTTGTGCCTTCGAGTCAGAACCAATTCATAGCTGACCCTCCAGTGGGTTTTAGAGGTAGTAAATCACGTGAGAGGAGATTGCCCACCCTTCTCCCATGGAATAGCTGTTGGATTTGAACTGTGTGCTTTTGGGATTACAACTCAGCTTCTTACTACTAGACCACCAGAGCTCACTCGTGTGTGTGTGTGTGTGTGTGTGTGTGTGTGTGCGTGCGCGTGTGTAAATGCAGTTTTTAAACACTTTGCTTTTCTTTCCACTTATCTGCATATTTTGAGCATGTTGCTAAAAGAGGCTATTCCTTGGAAAGTGACATCATGCTTGAAAAGAGGGAGGGTTAGCAAAAGAGAGGAAGATGGATTGAATCAGATGGATTGAAACAGTGACTTCAGCAATGGGCTCAAATGTATCAGAGATCATGAGAATGGCTCAAGATAGGATAGGGCTCTGGTCTATTGTTCATACAACAATAGATGGAGATAGATAGATAGATAGATAGATAGATAGATAGATAGATAGATAGATAGATAGATAGATAGATAGATATGTTAGGTGGCTTAATGGTAAGGAGTTGTGTTTCCAACCCAAAGGAACATGGTTTGAATCCACCATGTACTCTGTAGAAGAAAGATAGGTAATGTCCTCCTGTGTAATTTACTGTCTCTGAAAGCCCACTAAAGGGTCAGCTGTCAGTTGGTTCTGACTTGACAGTACACAAGAACAACAATATATATATGGAGCTCTGGTGGAATAGTGATAAGGAATTGTACTGCCAATCCAAAGGTGCATACACCAGGTAGATTTTATATATATAGTGTGTGTGTAGTATGTGTATATATCTCTATACACACATTTATCCCTATAGATTCACAGACTTCTTTAAGAAAGATGTACAAGAAACTAAGAACTATGGTTGATAGTGAGAAATAGTGAGAAATAAAGATGGGGAGGAGACTTGTTTTATTTTATTTTTTATTTTATTATTTTGTGTGTGTGTGTGTGTACAGTCAAATCATATCTGATTGGTACAGGAGGAGATTTCCCCTCCTTCTCCAGGAGAGCATCTGGTGGATTCAATCCTCACACCTCTGGGATAGCAGTGCAGCTTCCCGCCACTAGGCCACCAGAGCTCCAAGACTTGTTTTATTTTAATCACATTTTATAGCTTTACAATTTAATCACATTTTATAGCTTTAAAATTTAGCACCATCTTCTATTTTTTTAATTCATTCACTTATTATGTTTTAAAAGGAAGATAACGGGGGGGAGGGGTGGGCAGGGAGAAAAGTGCAACAATGAATGAAATAGAAATCCAAAGTCTCTGTAAATTTTCATTAATAATAATAATAATAATAGAAATTAATTTTTTTAAAAAAGGAAGGTAACTATGGGGCCCTGCTTTATTCCACATATGCTTCTAGTATTGCTTCACCTCTACCTCTGAGCCATTACCAGTAGATTAGGCAGCAAAATCTCATGCTGGAAGCTGGGGTGTTCTGCCAGGCTTCTGAGGAAGCTGCTAGAGGAAAGATGTTGGGTCTCACCCTCACAGAGCATCAAGACCAACCTGAGCCGGGAGAGCGATGTGATGAGGGAGAGTATGCGCCATCTCAGCGACCAGCTGAAGCACTATGAGAACCACTCGGCCATCATGATGAGCATCAAGAAGGAGCTCTCCAGCCTGGGCCTCCAGCTGCTGCAGAAGGACCAAGCCACTGTCCCTGGAGCTGCCCCAGACACAGCTCTTAATAGCAAGGCTCAGGTAAGACCACATTTCTCAGTTAATGCCCCTCAAGTGGGCAGGCCTGGGAGCACCGTGAACCTCCATCTTAATGGAGGGCTGGTGCTGTAGGACAGGGCTGAATGGCAGGTGGAAAGGGGAATTACCTGTCCTGCAGTAAGGACAGGTGAGCTGAAAGCAGAAAGAGGAATCTAGCCAAGGGGCTGGGTATCAAAGTCAGATGTTTGGCAGGTATTCTCATTCTCAGGCTTTCACACTAGAAATGAAGTTTTGGAAAGAAACCTGCCTGCCTGGTCCCAAGTCTGGTTGCAGCAAAAGAATTTCTAGCCTTTCCTGCTGTAGCTGGACCCTACCTAGGGTAGGCCTGCTCTAGGGCACCTGAGCAATGTCTCAAGGACCCCAGAAGACTAACCTCTTCTCACCCAAACCAACCAGGGGTGGGAGGCTCCTGCTGCAGCATCCAAACATCATATGTCCAAGCCAGAGCAGAAAGTGAACAAAAGCACTGGTTTTGTCAGTAGGAAGGGCCACCCATGCTATAGAACACAGCTTTATGAAGTTTGAAAAAGACACACCCTTTAGGCCAATAGATTGAAGGAAGGGGGTGAAGGAAAAGGCTCTCTTCCTGAGCAGATAAATTAGAAAGAGGAGCCCCCTGTGGGTGGACAAATCATAAAAAGGCACCAGTGTGTCTTAGCAAATGGAGTGCAGACTAGATTTCAGGAGTCAGGAATTGACTCACTGGTAGTGAGTTTGAATTGAGTTTGAATTGCTGAGTCACTTAGGTGTAAGCGCACAACCATCCTTGCTTTTAGGTTAGCAGGGGTGATATTTGTGGAATCCCCACTCTAAATCTGACTTTTTAACAGACACTATCTCAGTTAATCTCATTAACCACCATTTAGGAGAGATGGTCCCTGCCCAGTTGTTGTCAGACAAGAAAATATGGCAATCACTCATGCAGAGAGTGGCTGCGCTGGAATTAGAACCCATGTCTGCAGAACTACTAAGTCCGTGTTCTTCCTCATCACCTCTCAGGCTCCTGTCTGACACTGTGCTAATGAGGCCCTTTGTGTCTGCAGCTGGAAGAACCTAAGAGATACAGATAAGCATGGAGGAAGCCTAATGCCTTGGCTCAGAACTAGCTTCCTATTCATTCTGGTGCCAACTGGGTGGGCCAGAATGAATCCTGTTTTGGAAATGGCACAGAAGCATGTCTAGATATTGTACTTACTGTATCTCCCAGAGATTCTGCCTAACAATGGATGATGTCACGGTCCCTGTGTTCTTATGCCAAACCAGGATCAGAGGCAATTAAAAGGAAGTGAAAAATCACAAAATTCACAAAGCATTAGAAACTGCAGGTCCTCAGGGCAGGGTGACCAACCAACCATTCCAGTTTGCAAAGGGCTGAAGGATTTTCCAGGATATAAGACTTTTCCATGCTAAATCTGGGAAAGTTCTGCCATGCTAAGTTGAGCTGAGCACCCTTTCCAAGGACCTGAGAACATTTTGCCTCCTTATACACTAAGACTAGTGAATAATAAGAGAGACAGAACTGAGACAGCTCCTGGAAGACCCCGAAGGTCTCTAAGTCTTGGGGAGAAGTAGTAAACAGGAGCTGAGAAATAGTTGGGAAACAACCTTATCAGACTGGGCTGGCTTCAAGCATGATGAGGAACTAGAGAGCTAAGTTGTAAGTGGAGTAACCAGGAGGTTGGGAGTAGATAAAGGAAGCTGTGACTTCATGAATACCTGGGACATAGGGCCTGGAGCAGCATGACCAATTCCAGCCTCCAAATGCTGAGCCTTTATGATCTCCATACAGGGGTCCACACCCCCAACACCCCTTCTGAAAAAACCACCCAAACTCATTGCCATCAAGTCATGTCTGACTCAGAGACTACAGGACAGAGTAGCACTGCTCCATAGGTTTTCCAAGGCTGTAGTCCTTACAGGTGCAGACTGCTATATCTTTGTTTTGTGGAAGAACTGGTGGGTCATTACCTTTTGGTTAGCAACTAAGTTCTTCACCACTGAGCTCCTTATATTCTACCATCTCTGCAGTCTCAGACTTCCTTTCTCTCCCAGGACACAGGTGGAGGGAAAGGCAAGGACACCAGCAAATATGGCAGCGTGCAGAAGAGCTTTGTAGACAGAAGTCTCCCAAAACCTCCTAAGGAGAAGCTGCTGAAGACAGAAAAGCTAAGGAAGGAGAGTGTCAAGGGCCGATTCGCCCAGCCCACAGCCAAGCCCCGGGCTCTGGCCCAGCAGCAGGCTGTGATCCGTGGAATCACCTATTACAAGGCAGGCAGACCGGAGGTGAACGAAGCTGTGGCTGGTGAGTTGGAGGGGCACTGCACCTGGGGGCAGAAACTTGCCAATAGTTGGACCATGATACCCAGGGATCCCTTTTATCTTCTTTGCAGTTGAATAGTCCCAGATTCCAGCTCCCCCGATGATCTGTTTATTGCTTTTTCTCATCTCTGAAATGAAGACAATAGCCTTCTTATGGGATGGTTGGGGGTCAAGTGATACAACCAACATGAAGGACCTCATAGTTCCTCCTGTATTTAAAACAGTGCCTTACATGGTGAGCTGCTCACCAAAAGGGCAGCAGTTTGAATCCACTAGTAGTTGATCAGTAGGAGAAAGAGAAGGCAGTTTCCTCCCATCAAGATATACAGCCTCAGAAACCTGAGAGAAGGTCACCATGCATCAGGCCATTTCCAAAGGCAGTGGAGCTTTTGCATTTACTGTTTCCCTATATTCTCATTGGACCTTTCCTTATTCACTCAAAACTTTACCATGTACTATGTGGGTAACAAGGAACCTTTATCCAGGCAGTTGTCACAGGTGGGAGACAGGAAACCACAGGGGCTACAGCCAGAACAGGGCATCTGGGAAGTGACGTGGGGCTTCTGGCACCTCATCTGCAGATGAGCCCTTCAAAGGATGGTCTTACTAACCCCTCCCACTTCTTATGTCTCCGAAGAAAAGTCCAGGAACTCTTGTATTCTCCCTGAAGTTTTCTGCAGGATCCCAGTAAAAGGCAACAAAGTAATCTGCCAAGAAACAAGGGGCAAAGGTTCCAAGAGCCCCCAAATTTTTGGTCCATCCCAAACCTGCTGATTTTAGCTCTTGATTTCTCCTCTGAGACCCTCTGTAGATAGCTGCTCTCCTCTGATGTCTCTGTGGAGGTTCTCTACTTCCTACTTCCTGGGCGCTGCTGACCACTTCCTTCAGTGAAGCATGCTATCCAGCCCATGTCCAAAGGGAAAGGAGGTGGGACAGTTAGGGATCAATCACCTTCAAAATCCTCTTCATTGTTGACTTCTCAGGGGCCTCCAGAGGGACTCTTCAGCCATTCCTGCAGCTCCTGGTGCCAGCTGCAAGCCCTAATCTGTGCCAGAGCCTCTGACCGCCGGTCAAGGCAAGGTCCCAGAACAGCTGCAGGCATCTGACTATGCCAGCACGGCCCGTGGGAACAAGTCCCCTGGCCTAGCAAGCTGCCAAGATCTGGCTCCTCAGAAGGTCTACTCCCACAATAGGCAAAGCCCCTACGCAAAGAAGCAGCCCACCACAGAGAGAAAAAGAAGCAGCTGGTGCATAATGGTGCTGAAGTCCAGGGCCCTCTGTGGATTGGAAATGACTCAGAGATAGCCCTAAAACCAGCCTAACCTGAGAGCCGAAGAAACTCACCCCCTGCAGCTGGGGTGGGAAGAAGGGTGGGGTGTGCTAGAACACCTGAGAAATGAGAGATCGGAGGTGAGGGGAATAGAGAAAGGGACAGAGACCTAGGTTAGAGGTGACAGGAAGCCAGCTGCACTTGCCCTTCTGGCCTGAAGTAACCCGTAAACACTTACTTGAGTGAAAGTGAAGAGGAAGTTACAGGGGAGAGGATAGAGCAAGTCCCATAAAATGGGGTAAGAGTTTCTGTCTCCTTCAACTGAATCTAGGAAATTAAAGAAATGGCACAAAAGGCTTAACAGTTAAATGAAAAAGAGTTGTCACATTTAGCCTCCTACATGCAGGTTCTGTGCAAATATTTTATGTGTGTTTTCCTCTAATCAGTTAAACAGCCTCATTTGGTAGGCCTCATTATTCCCATTTCAAAGAAGAGGAAGCTGAGACCCACAGATGTAGGGGGACTTGCTAAGTCATTAACTGGAGAGTGGCAGTCAGGCTTGGATGTGAAGTCCTCCCTGCCTCTAGTTTTGGGGTCTTTCACTCCCTTGAGGTCCTCCTTGTCACCTCCTCGAAAAGGTGCTCGAACCGCTGGAAACTCATTGGGCCTAATCAGATCCCCAAGGGGCAGCAAATGCTGGGATATTATCTTGAGGTCTTCTCTTTTCAGACAATGCCCTCAAAAGTACTTCCTGGCTGGAGCAGCTGCCACCCAAGGTAGAGGGCAGGCCACCTGAGCCCAACTCCGCGAAGCAGGATGAGGCTGGACCAACGGCCTCAGAGGGAACAGACCTGACCCCCAGCACCCCCACCTCAGAGCCCACCACCACTACCCAGACTCCCACCACCAGTTCCCTGCCCACCGTGCTGCCTTCACGCCCAGAAGTCTCAAGCCAAGGTGAGCCCCATAGAGGTCAACAAATTACCAGTTATTAAGAGAATACAGTCAGTAGCTTGCTTTTGTATGGTGCTCAAATAATATTGTGAGATAAGAATAATTTTCACATTTTTAAGGACTTCAAAAAAGGAAGAGATTAAAAAAAAAAGGAAGAGATTAAAGAATATTACGTGGTCTGCAAACCTAAAGCATTTACCATCTGGCCTTTTGTAAGAAAATGTGCCAACATTTAAAATGGTTGGAAAGTAAGCATGTCTTCAACAAATGAGCAAATTCTGTGTTTCCTAGAAACTCATCAGCAACTGCTTTCTTTCTTCTCTTTATTTCCTCTATCCAGTCTTTGGCCTTCTGTTTGTCCATCTTTGCAATTTTCACTTATGAAAATGGTAAAAAAAGTCCTCATTATTAATCGATTCCATCTTTCTGGAAGGCATCTTGGCTACCTGTGCGAACAAGCCTTAAAACCATTTCCTGCTTTGGTCTTGAGTACATTCCACGACTAGCAACCTTTGCTGAAGGATCCATCAGTAATGTGGACAACAGCTGAGGGCCAACAAACCAACTGGTTTAACCAGTGCTCTTTTTTAACATCACAAAACTGGAAATAACCTAAAGTTCCAACACTAAGGGACTGGTTAAGTACATTTCAAGACTCAGCTGTCCAGGAGGCCTGGTTGAACCTTGAAATCACATCTTTAAAGAGCTATTTAGTGATGTGAGAAATTGCTCAGAAGAGGCGGGGAAACGGTATATACAGAGTTATATAATATTTAGGTGAATCACAGATTTTTAAAGTATGTCTTCATGTCTGTACATGAAAGGGGGAAAATAGAGGACAACATGGTTAAAAATGTCTTTAGATAATAGCATTTTGAATGATTTTTATTTTCTCCATTCTCCTTTTCTATGTTTTCTACAATAACAACAATAAAAAAGGCCACAAATAAAACATCAGGAGATATTTAAGTTAGACCCAGATGATGTTCCTGAGACTGCTGCTCTAGCTTTGGGTCTCCTGGTCTGTTCATCAGATGCTATGTCCCCCACTCCCACAGGCAGAGAGGCAAGTTGTGAAGGCACTCTCCGGGCTGTGGACCCCCCTGTGAGGCATCACAGTTATGGGCGCCATGAGGGTGCCTGGATGAAGGACCCCACAGCTCAGAACGACAGGATCTACGTCACCAACTACTACTATGGAAACAACCTAGTGGAGTTCCGTAACCTGGAAAACTTCAAGCAAGGTTGGTGTTCCCAGATATGGGAATGAGGAAGGATGGGCAATGTGGGGAGGGTCCCCATGGAGACTTGGCCCTCCTTTGCCTAGTGGTTTCATGTGATCTGTGTGCCCCTGCCTGACCTAACTCTGAATGGTCAGTGCCCTAAGGAGAGAGTTGCGGGCACTGGACTAGGGAGCTAGCCAGACCCCATGGCACCCCTTTGAGCTGGCAATGTGTGAGGAGCTGGAATTCAGCTTTTGAATTCCAAGATGGGGATGGTCCTGCTTTCACAGATGTAACTTACCCTTAAGGATAAAATAATCATGGTTTACACTTAACTGAGTGTGCTTATGACATCCTTATAACTCCAGTGGTCCTTATAAAGCCAGTGGTCATTATCTCATTTACAGCAGGGCCTCAGGCCTTAGAAAACCTGTAGGTCTGTGTAGGGGCTATTAGCACAAGGAAGGGTAGGATCTTGGTTACCAGATCCTGAGAATGATAAGAAGGGTTCACATTTAGACACAGTCTTATCCTTCCAGAAACACAGCTGTGATGGGGAGTGGGGGTGAGGGGAGGCAAAAGCGTAAAGAGATAAAGTTAATGTTCTGGGTTTCTAACTGAGATTTCTACTAGCCACTCCCTTGGAGAAAGATGAGGTCATCTTTAAGATTTATGGCCTCAGAAGTCTGAGGGAGTATTACTGTGAGCTGGAATTGACAGCAGTGTATTTATTGGGTTTGGGTTTGGTAGAGAGAGTGGGAGAGAGGGCATCATGGAAATTCATCATGGAGATCAGGGAAGGCTTCCCAGAGGAGGTGATGGTGAGATGACCTCCAGAGGAACAGGAGGAGAAAGAAGAATGTTTAAGACAGGGAAACTCAAAGGCCCAGTGATAGGAGGAAGTGCAGGGAAACTCAAAGGCCCAGTGATAGGAGGAAGTGTAGTGGGATAGGGACAGGATGTAGGGAACAGGTAGAAAGTGTGAGAGCTATGGAGTCACAAGACATGAGCTTCAACAGATAAGATCTTCCTCTGCCAGGTCAAAATCTTGTCTCTGCCCCAACCATTTCATAGACTGGTGGAGGAAGCCAGTGATAAGTGCCAACACAAAAGTTGGGAATCCAGAGAAGTGGCCCTTTTCTCAGCCTGGGGTGGTAATATTGACTGGGGGTTCTGAAAGATAAGTGGGCATCTCCACCCAGGCTGGACAGGGAATGGCAGTGAGACTGAAAGAAGAGCACATAGGCTCTAAGATAAAGCATGGATGCAGAAATTTGCTTGCGTTTAAAAATTCTGCCCCAGGAGCCTCGACTTCCCTGTTGCCAAGCAGGCTGGTAATAGTTACCACTCTCATGGGGCTGCTCTTAAATAATAAGAGGATTAGCATAGCCCCAGGCACACAACACAGGCTCAGTATCAGTTACTCGCAGGGTTAGGGGCTCTTGGTGGCCTCACAGGAATGTGTGGTGGCCTGGAGGGTTGTTATGCATGTGGTGTAACCATCTGCCCTCTGTGCACAGGCCGCTGGAGCAACATGTACAAGCTGCCGTACAATTGGATCGGCACGGGCCACGTGGTGTACCAGGGCGCCTTCTACTACAACCGGGCCTTCACCAAGAACATTATTAAATACGACCTGCGCCAGCGCTTCGTGGCCTCCTGGGCGCTTCTACCGGACGTGGTGTACGAGGACACCACGCCTTGGAAGTGGCGCGGCCACTCGGACATAGACTTTGCCGTGGACGAGAGTGGGCTGTGGGTCATCTACCCCACGGTGGACGACCGCGACGAGGCCCAGCCCGAGGTGATAGTGCTGAGCCGCCTGGACCCCGGAGACCTTTCTGTGCACCGTGAGACCACGTGGAAGACGCGGCTGCGGCGCAACTCCTACGGGAACTGCTTCCTGGTTTGCGGCATCCTGTACGCAGTGGACACTTACAACCAGCAGGAGGGCCAGATCGCCTACGCCTTCGACACGCACACGGGCACTGACGCCCGCCCGCAGCTGCCCTTCATCAATGAGCACGCCTACACCACCCAGATCGACTACAACCCCAAGGAGCGGGTGCTGTATGCCTGGGACAATGGCCACCAGCTCACCTACACCCTCCACTTCGTGCTCTGAAAGGGGACCCGTGCCCTCCTAGGGGGCGGGGTGGGGTGGGGGTGGGGATTCCCCACAGCAATTCCTGCAAAGGACCCTGTTGACAAATATTTATTGAGTTCCAGCCCTAGAGCTAGGTGCTAGACGTGTGGCGTAGCTGAGATAGAGCTTCCTTAGCACCCAGTGGAATAATAATAGTTTCCACTTACAGCACTAGCCCAGCCTTTGACATACATTTGTCCATTTAATTCTCTCAGCACCACCATTGGAGGTAGAGGTCATTGTCCCCTTTGAACAGATGAGAAGACTGAGGCTCAGACATGATGCTCCCTTGCCTAACGTTTCAATTTTAATCAGGCAAATGAGTCCACAACAGCCCCATTTTGCAGATAAAATAGACTGGTCTCCCACTCTGCAGCCTCCAGTCCATCAGGTTCCCACAGTTCTCTCTCACTTCCCAGGACACAGAAAAGCCAGAAGCCTTTGAGTGCAGTGGGCACTAGTGATAGGTGAAGACCCTGGCAATACCTACCACCCCGGATCCAAACTCTGGCTGAGCTATTAGTGTCTCTGGGCTTCAGGCCCCTGTGTCCAATGTCCCTTTCTTTGACTAGCTCCTACCCCTATCTCTACCCCCACCCAATCCCACCTCACCGGCTGTCCAGCCACATTCCAAACTTCCACCGTCATTAACCACTGAGTAGAAACCACACCCCAAGAGAAAATACTGGCCCCCATTCCTAGGCCCCCTCCCTTTAGTATTTTTATTTTCTCTTATTCTTAATCAGTGCGGTCATTTGTTTCTGCAGCAGCAGCTGAGACGGCTGCAGGCAGCTGCTTGCCAGTGACTCCACCAGGGTAGGGAAATGGGCTGGGCCCTGAGGCTCCTTCTCCACCCAAAAGTACTGCCTTTGGCCACAGTGCTTGTTGCATCTCCCTGGTCCCTCTCAGAGCCTGTGGGCCTGGAATCACCTTGTTCTTCCTCTCTGGGCCTTCAAGCCCGTAACCTCTACACACTCAGGGATACCTCCAGCTCTGCTGTGAGCACAGACTGAGGCTGGGGCAGTCCCATGATGGAGGAGGTTCCTTCTTCCTTGTCAGTCCTGACTTGGTCATTTGCTGGGTGACCCAGCAGCCAGGGGAGTTGGAGAAGGCTGCGGGTCCAGAGGAAGCATTGAACCTTCTTCTGTTGGTAGGTCAGAGGGCTGAAGCAAAACGGGAAGAGCTTTAACTGGCTTCAGAGATTGTTAGGGAACTCTGGTGGCTTAGAGGTAAGGAATTGCACTGCCAATCCAAAGGCATGCAGTTAGAATCCACCGGCTGCTCCAAAGGAGAAAGATGACAGTGTGATTTACTTCCTCTGAAGACCCACTGGAAGGTCAGTTATGAGTCAGAGATGTTAAAGTGACGAGTCGCAGCCATGGCTCCCCGAGTCCAGGGACATGGGACTGAGGGTGCACAAGCGACTCCCTTGCCAGATGCTGTTGATGAGCCACCAGAGCCTCAGACCCAGACCATCCACAAAGATGAGACCTTCAAGACTGCCTCTTAGCCACTTTGGACTATTTAAGAGCTGAAAAGAAGTTCTCTAGTCCAACTCTTTATTTCACCAAAGAGAGAAAAGGCCTAGAAGGGCTTAGTGGGCTGCTCAAAATCACATGAGGAACAAGATAACAGCATTCTTGTTGCAGAAGGTCATTGTTGGTTTCTTTTTATTCTGATTTGGCAATAAACTACCCATCACTCAAGTCATCCCGGAACCTTGAAAGGATATTTACTGGTCCCTACATGCTCAATGGCACACAACAATAACAACACACCCCCTAGACCCTTCCTGGTTCTTGGGCTCTGGTAGTCCATCAGAGTAGTCCCCTACTCTGCCACCACGCTGGCTCCCAGGATATCTGAATACTTGTACACCAGCTGCCACACTAGTAATTTGGCTGCACAACCCTGTGGGCTGTGAACATGATATCCCTTGTGAGGATTCCCCAACAAGTAGGGAAATGCATTTTGTGCAGAATACACTTCCTTTGGGTATTGTCAGGTGATGTTGTTTTGTTTAAGCTGTAACTCACTCTTGAAATAAAGAGAATGATGACGCCCAGGCGAGCAAGGCCTGACTCATAACACTGGACACATCCAGCTCCCTCACCCAACTAGCCCCTACATATCCACTTACAGACTCTTCAGGGGGCTGCGAGGCCTTGGCGTTTCCCTTGGCTCTGGGTGTGGGTTTTACAAGACTGTGTCTCCTGTGATATCATAGCCCAGCCATGTAAGAAGTGTTCAGGCCCCTCCTCTTCATTAGTCTGAAAAAGGAGAAAGTTAGAAATGGACAAATTTTGAAACCTAGAGTTGTTGTCCAGGGGCAGGAGGTAAGATGGGGAATGAGCAGCTTAAAAAATGACGAGATACAGCCCCCAAATATTTACTAAGCCCATTCTGCTTTCACATACTTAATACATGAGTAATGTGGTAGGTATAGTCATCCTCATTTTTTGGATCATGAAACTAAGCCCAAAGGAATTGAGTCACTTGTCACATAGGCAGAATGTAGAGAGCCAGATTCAGGTTACATGACTGCTGTTGTCCTTTTGGACACCTCCAGTGTACTGCTTCCTACATGTCCTACTACCATCTTCGCAACAATGAAAAGTATAAACTCTGAATATGTCCGTTTGACAGATGAGAAAGCTGAGATGAAGAGCCTTCCAAAGGCCATACAACAGCTTATCCCATAGCAGTGGAGATTTCAGGACTGGTTCGAGCATATTATTTTCTACTCTTTAGTATCACTGGTGGCAATTCCAGAAATGCCCTTTATTTTATCCAGCATGTGCAGACCATAAGCTATGGGCAAAAGTGAGACTCAGGAAGTAGCGGGGGTCAGCTTGAACATCTAGAGCTTTGACTGTCTAGCCAAGAAGTGATCGCCACTAATCACATTTTGAACAAAGGTGAGAATAAAATAATAGAGAAAAGGAAATTCTAAGAGAGTGGATTTTGTCCTGGCAGTGATGAGAAGGGTCTTTTGGAGCCAGCTTACAATAGCAAACATCTGAGTGCTGAAGGAAACCTGACCCTCCTCAGCTTTTTTTGTTACCTGCCCTTTGGCTTTATTACATTTGCAACAGGTACTTCAAACAAGGACAAATGTTTTTCCTCTGCCCTGACCTTGGTTGTCAGGGCAGAGGAAACTGGCGCTGTTGTTTCTGGGCAATGTGACACGTAAAGAGCCTCTGATCACCCACCACCTTCCACTCCTCCCTGAAGATTTCCAAGTCCTGAATATAATCTGTATTGTCTTGGGAAGAAAGCAGAGGGCAGCACAAAAAGTGGGGCCAGTGGTTCCCCCAGGAATGATTTGAGGGCTCTTGAAAGTCCATGCACCATGGACTTTCCATCTCTTCCTCCATGACTGCCTGTAGCATTGGAAACATCCCCCTGCAACAGGAGGAAGCAGCAAGGGAGGGAGTCAGGGAGTCCTGGGTTTGAGTGTGGCTCTGCTCATGCAATTGTTAACTCCTGACTGAAGACCTGTGACTTAGTTAGGTCAAGGAACAGAAGAGGGCCTAAGTTGCATTTTCCAAAAGCTAGAAAGCACCTTTCCATACATTATCACTAACCCAGGGCATCCTCAAGGTTAGCTAGCATTATCTTCCCCAATACAGGTGATGAATCTCAAGTTCAGGAGGTGAAGCAACCTGCTCAGGGTCATGTGTCTTAACATGTATCTTAACAAGATTTAAACCAAGTCTGTCATACCAAAACCCTAAACTAATTCTTGTTAAGAATTTGAAAGCAGTTATGTTTTCTTTGCTTTGGCCACTGAGAAGCTCAGTCAAACTTGAGATAACTTTTTAAACAGTTGTAGTGAGTCTCCTATAGGGCTCTGGCTTCATTTTGTCATTCTGCTTTTCCCTTTAATGAATCTTAATTTTTATTCTATTGTATTTTATGTATTTTTATAAGTTGCCACAATACCTTTTTTGCAACAAGGTGGCATATACTTAAATAAAACACAATCAGAAGAAGTTTGGTTTCCTTTCTTCCACCCACCCCTCCACTAAATGCTACTGTCTGCATCTTTGAATATATATATGTTCTGTTTGTCTTTAATATTTGTTATGAGCTAAAAATTGGCCTCACTTCTCAACTATTGCTGGAAGCTCATCTGAATGATGAGCTGTTGTGAAGAATCCAACCTGGCTGAAAACCAGACTCTTCTGGGCGGAGAGGAACCGTGAGCCATTCCCAAAGGTGTTCAGGCACAACCCATGACCCCTTTCCCCAGAAAGAGAATAATTTGGAGAATGTGGGACTATGCGAGAAATAAGAACAAAAAGAAATGCTTTTCTGGGACTATGTCTTTCAGATGATTCTATTAT